CTTAACCTTTGGTTTTTGTGGCTCCAGTTGTGGCTTCCCGTGCTCCACCGAACCAAGCTTTGAAGTGTTCAGTGCAGTGGAGGCCCTTTCCTGTCCCTCGGCCTTGCCCTGGATTTTGCGGTCTCCAGTATCTCCGGAGGTGACAGGTTGGCTCTGGTGGCCAGCAGCCACGTGGTAGCCTTCCCCCAGCCTGCTGGGTTAGGTTTTCCTCTCTGGGAATGAATGACTGGCCATTCTCTCCCTGGACATGCTTGCGGTTCAAGCCTTTTCAAAAATGCCTAAGCAAAAGCTTCTCTCCGAAGCTGCCGAAGCTGGTTTAAGATGGGATGGGACGCTTGTGGCCACTAAAGGTTTGCACATTACGTAGAGCATCTGCTTCTCATCTGGAAAGGCATAGCCAGATCTGCTTGTTTTGTGAGTGTCAGTCAAACAACAGAACATTATAAGGAAGGAAATGAATGCAAAAACATAATTATGTCCATTAAATTAAGTTTCACCCTATGCAAAACATTGTCAGTAGCTGATTCACAATAGCAATGAGTAATGATAACCTGACACGCTGATCCTGTAAGTTACTTGGCCTCAACAATGAGGTAGGAAACCTTTATCCTAGTTATGGCCAGAGATCACAGAACTCAAGTTCTTGATCCTTTGCAGTTCCAGCTTGCAAAGGAGCATTTCTCCATGGGAGGCAGGGGCTGGAGTCTTTTCTCCTATAGCGGTGCCTGTGGCTGGCAGAGGCATTCCTTCCCTCATTTTCTCTCTTCTGCTTTGTTCTGAGACCAAGCTACTTCCTGCCCTCCTGTCCCCAGTTTAGGTCATCAATTGTCCTAAAAAGGAACATCTGGAGTGCCACAACTGGATAGTGTGTTAGGTTCTATTTTTATGCTCTTACACAATGCTGTCGAGCTTTTTTGAGGCATGTGGCCGGGAGCTCTTCCTGTTCGCTCTTCTGCTCCCTTGTTTAGTCTCACCCACCTTTGTCCAGGAAACATCTTCTGGAGCACTGTTTTCATGTTGGAATGATGCCTCTTTTGGTTAGGAAATCATCACACTGAGTTAATTCCTTTTTTGGCTGCTTTTATATTGGGAAGGAAGTTCTGTTAACCTGTTTTCTATTCTCAGCACTTTGGGGCTTCCGACTTGCTCTGCTGCAGAGATCTTTATTGTCCAACGATTAAAGGCCTGGCGGAATAATTCCAGCCTGATCAGAATGTATAATTCTACCTGCCACTGATTTGAGATGTTTAGCCAATAATTTGGAGTATAATTTATAATCTGCCTTTGAAACAGCTCTATATGAAATAACCTTCTCCATGGCTTTTTTCCCCTAGCTTTAACTGTAATTTTAGATTTTTGGCCATGAAGCAGGAAGTTTCTCACTTTGATGTAATAAATTACATATTTGTAGAAATTCTGGAATTAAAATACCCTTGAATTCTTTATAGAATTCACTGGTAAAAGCATCTGGGCCAGGAGATTCCCCCCCCCCTTTTTTTTTATTTTTTTTTTTTTATATTTTTTTTTTTTTTTTTTTTTTTT